TCTATTTCAGGGCTTTTGTGGTATTTTATGGTTCTGGGCATCTTGGCAATGACAAAAGGGCATTGCCAGGATGACTTACCTCATGCATGGGTTACAGAAGAGGACCATAGTGTAGGTGCTGCTTCTTACGAAATTTACTTTTGGCTTTGCCCTGAGGTGACGCGCATACAGAAAATACTCTTTCTCTTTCAAGGGCCTGAGTTCACATCTACTGCCTTTGTTTCAGCCATATCCCAATGGAAACAAACCTCTTTGTACTAGATTTTCCTGCTGAATTCTGTTTGTTCTTCTCAGGTTGTACTCATCCCAGGTTGTGCCTCCGCATAGCCTCTTGAATTCTTGCTTTCCTTCTCCACTAATCTAAAGCTCTGGAAGGGCAAAGACATATTTTATTCCTCTTTACATAATTCAGGAGCACCTACCCTAATAACTTACAGTGGAGGTGCTCCATATGTATTGTTGAATTAAAATACAACTGCCTTGGAAAAACAGTTCAGAGTTATGACTTTAATATAACACACCTCAAGTATTTACAGAGGTGGCATTGCAGATCAACAATATAATTGACTCTATCCTTACATTAAATGTTGAAAAGTCTCATATGACCAAGAAAAAATAATTCACTCTTTTTGAAAGCTAGTGTTCAGTTTTGGTTAAACTACATAAGGTCGGTTTTGGGATCCCAGTTTGAAACAAGGAAGGATACTGCTTTGATTCTTGGCACACAAACAAAAGAGTGAAAGTCTCTTAGAATATTCATGGTTAGCAAGCTTAGTTTAGCATAGGTATATCAATAAATCATTGCTGTAAGTCTGCAATACATAGAGATCTATGTGTATGTGATTTCTAAAATAAGCAAATACTTGAAGTACTTTAAAGAGAAATATGATGAAGGTCATAAAGTACTTAGATATTACGGTATGTTTGAACAGGGCAAAAGTATTGTATTTCTTCCTAAATATTTAAATATAGCCAAAATATCAACTGTGATGTTTACATGCTGTGGGAATCCTGACAGTAACAAACAAGGACGAGCGTAATATGGTGGATAATTCTCTCAATCTTAGATGGTTGGATGCTGGAAGATGATGTAATCAAAGTATCATTTGAGGAAAATGTATCTGGCAACAGTATTCATGATAACTGCTAGAAGATTTGATCCAGGAGTTATGGGGGCCAAGGAGAAAGCATTAAAAATAATCCAAACATGAGGTGCTGGGGAAATTTACAAGTGGTAAAAACACAGAGGAACAAGTGGATAGAAACATATTTTAAAAGAAAAATTTTTACAATATACGTCATTCTAAATATTGAGTTTAAGTGTGTCATGTTTTGTGTCTAGATGTCTCCCCTAAGTCTCATACAGTTAGTGGGGTGGGCTTCTAGAGTTTATGATTAATTCATGATGCAATGCTGGGATTATGGGTGTGAGTGCTACATCTGCCCTGAGGCAGATAGCTGGAATACAATATAATGAAAGGAGAGGGGCTTGCTAGCTACCACAGCCACTGTACCTCCCTTTATGGCTTTTGCTTTTTGCTCTTTCCTGCCTCCATGAGCTACTGCCCTCTTCCAGGTGCCACTCTATCTTGGAGCCAGCTGAGCACGGACTGAAACCTCAACTAACTGTGAGCTAAATAAACTTTTCCTTCCTGAGTTTGGGTGTCGGGTATTTTGGCCCAGCAATGGGAAAAAAGTAACAGAAACAAAGAGATTTAAGTTTTTGTCAACAACAGACAAAGAGAAGTTGAGAGGGACAGTCAGACCATAGGGAAATATGTGAGTTTGGGTTTGGTCATGTTGAGTTCAATACAGTGCATTGACACCCAGGTGGAAATTCTATGACTCTATCCCTGTTATTTTGGGACATAGTTGTTATATGAAGAATGAACTGGAGTATTTGGTCTGAAGGCAGCAAAGAGAAATTTAAGACAAGTGAAGAGCAAGAAAAATTTGAAACAATCAAAGCTAAGACATGCCATAGGGTTCTGCTTGGATATCAGATCTCCCATGATCCCAGTTTGGTGTTGTTTGGGCTAGATTCTTCCCTACTCTGCTGATGTTCTGGCTTAGACTTCTATTTCTATGCATCTGTAAATATCTAGCTTGTAGTAAGCCAGTGGACCATTTCAACAACATGCCTTCAATGTTAGGTAAATAATTTACAGTGTTCCAAAGTACTGAAGCATCCAAATATATGAGTTAGAGAAAAAAAATCAAAGGTGCATATTCTGATCGTATTGTATTGCTGCTGTCTCTTGGCAGTTTAACTTTGAGAATCAACTCAAAGCTCTCTAAGTAGCCTGCCAGATTCCCTAGGCAGTTGTGCCTTTCACTGACCATCTATCTGCAGCACTTTGTTCCTACTACATCCCTTGCCCCGTATTGTGTATATTTTTTCTTACCACTGGGTTGAGAGCAACTTGAAGATGGGAACTATTTATTTATCTCTGTCTTCCTCACGCCTTTAACAAAGAGGTGCTTGGTGGGTGACAGTCAATTGTTGGAAATAACCTAAAGAGAAATTTAAATAACATGGATACAACAATGCACAGTTGCTGTAGCAAAGCCTGTGTACACAGCGGTGTCACCTCCCCCTGATGCCCTTAATACTGCACCAGCAGAGGCAGTGTTCCCATTACATACTGCTGGCCTATGTTTGTAATGTGAGACATTTTTTTTATGAAATACTGTCAAGAGCAATCCATCATGCAGTAACCTTTGGATTATATGCCGAGACTGGTCTTAAACAGAGATATAAATGAACTTCAAGGATAATGCTATTTTCTAAGAAGGGAATGGTCCAGGAGTTCTGGCTAGGAAAATGAGGTGGAACAGTCTGTTCTTTTTTTCTTTTTAAAATGTATTTAGTACAAGGTCTCACTACACAGCTCAGACTCATAGTGATTCTCCTGTCTCAGCCTCTCCAGCATGGGGATTACAGGTGTGCATCACCACGCCCATCTAGGTGGCCTGCTTAGTGCCCCAGGCGGTGGGGTGGGTGCAGCGTGGGGGTCCAGCCCAGTCCCTGTGCGTGCCTAAGCAGGCACTTAGTTTGCTGAGCTATCTCACCAGCCCTCAGTTTGTTCTTTTAAGTGAGGTAGTAGAAACTGAGCAAGGGTTTTCCTTGTGGGTAGCTCCAGGTGGGGATAGAGTTACTGTACAAGGATGATCAGGTGACCCTGAATTGTGGCTGAATAGTTCTTTTTGTTTATCAGGTAAGGGCTTGACAAGGGGATTGAAACATGCCAAAGGTCTGATAACCCTTGAGACATGCCAGGATTATCATTTTATCTCAAGGGAGATAGAAAGTCACATGGCAACTTAAGTGAATTTTAGATGTCAACTCTTAGTTTAAAAATACAGTATTTCCTTTATGTAAACATAAAGATCTAGGATTTTACAATATTTTAGCACATAATAAAAGAGTTTCTAAGACTCATCATTTTATGTAAATCCAGATAAGATTTTTCCCATGAGCCAGTGTTTCCTGTTAAGGGGAATGCTTATAGGTGAGAAGAACACGAAAATTATAATTTTTTGTCTTCCTTAATTAGATGAGAGCTTACCATAGTTCTTGCTGAAGCTGTGAGGAAATCCAGGCAATAATTCACATTGTCAGGTCAGCAGAAATGGGCCCAGGGTCTGACAAGACTGAAAGGTTTGCTATCTGCAAACTGGATCACTCAGAAGAGGTAAAAATATCCTGGGAAGTACAAATAGCAATGAAAATGCCCAAAAGATTCTCAATATGATCTTTAAAGATGTCATTCCAGAGGAAATATATAAATCACATTAATACCAATTGATGTGGGGCACTAATGAATAAGTCCCATTAAATCACAAAGTAATGACATCTAGTATCTAAGGGAAGCCTCATAATCTCTTGATCATTAATATTTCATAGCATCAGAACACAAGAACTGCCATCCCCAGCTCATGCCCGTGGATTCCTGTCCTGACATGGCCCCAAGGGCTTTGAGTGGCACGAAGTGATTACAGCTCTGTTGTACAGACGATCTACACGCACCCTTCACTCGTGGGACCCCGGGTCCTAGTTGCCTCAGTTTAGAAAAGAAGAATCTGCTGCCACTCTAGAGTCGACATCTGTACCTACTGAGTGCCCTGCCGGAACAGAAGGGCTGGGATGTTGACTTCGGTGTGTGGCTGCTTTCTTGTCGACCCCCTCGGTCCACAGAGAAGCTTGCATAGGAGAAAATCATTACTTTGATTTTTGGTGGGGGCTTTCTCTATTCAAAGGCAATAATCGCTTTGCAGAGCAGGTGCCAATGCAAGGGCTTATTGATCCCGCTCTCCCAGCAATTCCAGGAGGCCCTCACTCTGGTGCGAGGTGGAGGGGTCAAGGGATAAGAAGTCCTCTGGGCCAGGCTGGCCGCGCTCCTGCCGCTCCGGTGGCACAGGGTGTCTTCTCCAGAAAAGGACTGGGCAGGGACCACACTACAGGGCAGCGCTGCCCGGAGTGGCGTGGCGCTGCTGGGGGTCTCCGGGAAAGGGTCGGGGCCCAGCCCAGCCTGGGTGCGAGTCGCCCCCCGCACCGAGCTGGACTCCAATCCGAGCCACCCGGGACGGACAGGGGACTGGGGCTGACGGAGGCGGTGCGCTCCGGGGAGGCGGGGAGAGGCGTGGGGTTGGCGGGGAGATCGAGGCTCCCGGGGCGGGGGCTGAAGAGTTGGGGAAAAGTGAGGGGAAAGTAGGGCCGGGGCTCCGAGGCGGCGGCGGGAGCGAGGGAAAGCGGGGTCGGCGCAGAGGAGCAACGAGGTCCGGGAGCTCTCGGGGCGCGCGCGGGG